AGGAGGGCCTGGCATGCTCTGTTCCATGGGGTCACGAAGAGTTGGACAGGACATTAACGACTACACAACAACAAGAAGAGAGAACCAATGCTCTTCCTTCCAAAGGAGCAACACTCAAGGAAAAAAGGCAAAGGGTCAACAAATGGGATCAGAGATAGGCAATACACAGTTTCTCAGAGAACTACACTTAATGACAAGTGACCTCACTTTGTCAAGATGTTCTTTGTGTGATGCCACTTTGAGGGAGAGACCCGAATAAAAGTTCAAACCTCCAAGAAACACTGGATAATATGTTCTTCTGCAAACAAATGTAATGTCTGAATGAAAACCCTAGAATCTCTCTCTCTCTCTTTATAAAGTAGTGATATTGCAAGAAACTAGACATCTGAAGTGGGGGTAGGTGTCTTTGTGGACACATGCAGCTTCTGCCAACCTGAGGAGACATATTTAAGTTCACATATAGTGTCGACTCAAAGAGTAAAACACATTAAATTAAGATCCATTCCTAAAAGGGTGGGGCCTGGAGATAAGATTGACAAAATTGAAACAGGAGGCACAGCAATGTTAATTCTCAGCTCAGTTGAAGGAAGGATGATGGTGATGGATTAGAAGCTGGGCTGGTTTGAAATGGTTTCCTTCTTTTCCTTCTCTCCAAAGCAGCATTTCCAGCCTCCCCAACGTGCTACTGAGAGGGCTGAGGAACCTTTTAAATTGGGGAGGGGATTGTGGGAGAACAGGAGGAGGTATCTTCTATGAGCAAAGCCACAGAAAGCACATACTGGATCTATTCCAGTAGTAGTAGGGGTAACAGAAGTCGAATGAGGACTGTAACAACTGTTCAGATGAACTTAAAGGAAGAGTGCACAGAGGATTAGGACAGACAAAAAATGAAGACTTTGCTGTGTAAAGATTTTCATATGTAATTGTTCCTAAGCCAACAATCCAGCATTATTAGACCTGCTTAGAAATTTTGTGTTCATCTCACCTCACAACCATTTATAATTTCTGGAAACATATTTTTTGTCATCAGCAAACCAAGGTAATCAGGTTGAGCTCATTCACAGACAGGAGGACAAGCACTGAGATCAACATGAAAACAAAAATATTTCCTCTAACACTGACATTCACTTTGGTCTGTGTGCGTAACCAAAAAAGATCTGAAGATTCTGGAGTTTAAAATGATATCTGCATTAAGAATGAAGGATGAGATAGGAAGTATACCTGGACTGAAAGGGATTACACACTCAAGAGCACTTGGCCTTATTAGATTCGGAATACTATGACTGTAGCGTTTAGGAATTTATTCAAGAATTGGATCACAGCACTCAAGAGCACTCAGCCTTATTAGATTCGGAATACTGTGACTGTAACGTTTAGGAATTTATTCAAGAATTGGATCATAGAAATGCAGTTAAAGATCCAAAATGAAAGTGTGGAGCATGTTGATAAACAGATGTACTGTATGTTGGAATTTGGTTGAAGGAACAGTGGCAGCATAACCATGCAATGTAAGTCCATCCAGTATTAGCCACCCAGATTAATGCTCAGTCACTAGATGAGTGGGATACAACTGCAAATCAACCAATCAATCAGTGAGAATATACTGTAGATGGGCCAGAGCAGTTTGCTTAAGATTAAGAAAGTAACATACAACAAAAAATTGAAAATTGGCTTCATGAATGCACTTGCTACATGCCCTCAGTCTATTGTATTGTACAGCATGAATTTATTTATTTATTATGCCGCTCATACTATCCAAAGGTCTCTGGGCAGCTTATAACATTTAAAATACAATAAAAGTCAGAACAATTAAAATGCAATTAAAATATATATAAACATTGCCATCGGACCCACAGCTAATACTATTTCAATTAAAAGCCTTCTGGAACAGGAAGGTTTTGACCTGGCGCCGAAATGTCATCAGTGTCAGACGAATCTCAGTTGGGAGGGCATTCCATAGTCTGGGGACAGCTGCCGAGAAGGCCCTTTGTCTACAAACCGTCCCTCTTACCTCCTTAAGGGAGGGCTCTTTCAAAAGGCCCCCCTGGCTAGATCTTAACTGCCGGGTAGGTTCATATGGAAGGAGGCGGTCCTTCAGGTATCCAGGGCCCCAGCCGGTTAGGGCTTTATATGTCAAAACAAGCACTTTGAATTGGGCCCGGGCAGCAACTGGTAGCCAATGTAGCTTAAACAGAATCGGCTTGATGTGTTCTCTAGCGGCCCACCTTCCCTGGGCCACATTAGAAGATGAAAGGACCAATTGCAGTAGCTGGAACGTCTTCAAAGGCAGCCCCAGACTTTAATAAAGGGAAGTAAAAAGAAAACTGAAGCATTTGAAATGTGGATCAAGAGTGTGACTAATAGAAATCCAGAAACAGAAAACTTACAAAATTCAAAAAGCTGGAATACTTTGGTGACATAATGAGGAAGGGAAAGTACAAATTACTGTTGATCATTCAATACAAAATAAAAAGAAGACCAAGTGCAGGAAGGAGAGGAAGTTGTTGATGGAAGAATCTTGAAACCTTTAGGGATATAAAACAACGTAACTGTTCATAGACTCTACATCTAAGGTCAGTATAGCCATTATGATGTCCATCTGCCAGTAAGACAGAAAGAATTTAAAATATAATTGGTGGAATTTTTCACAATTTTAGTCCAGCTATTTTTGAATTTGTGAAGGAGAATGAGAGAGCTGGGGGGAAAACAGAAAGGTGGCACTCTATCAAAGCTTCTGTATGTTAACTCAGAAAGAAGATGGTAGCTAAATGAGGCATTGGTTCAAGTGCTAATGGCTAAAAGTTTAATCATACATTTAGTTTGGAAGACAAGAAAAAATTAGGCACTTTCCCTGCCAAAGTCTAAGACAAAAGAACTTCAATTAGTTGAAAGCAGAGTTGTTTAGTTTGCACGTTATCTTCATATACTGTATCCTCTTCAGATGTAAATTCTGGTGTTAAGTGTTTGTTTCTTCCTTTTCATTACATATAATCTCATGAAGCCTAAATCACCAAGAATCCCTATAAAATACAAAGAAGATGTGATGCATATCTTCTTTGTATTTTATAATTTACTTTTGGGATGGTTTAAGTAGGGCATTTTCTCAGAATGAGAAAAGATTCTTCTCCCAGGCAAACAGGCAAGAGAACTGCAGGGAAGAGGAGACAAATGGCATTTCCTATACCTGTAATAAGGGTTTCTTTTCTTGTTGATTGAACAGTGAAGAAAACTATGCATCCTCCCTGACTGTGATTGCCTGATTGATCCATGTTGTAACTTCAATAAACGTTCTCAAAATATACCGTCTTCCTACAATTTCATCTTAGACATACTATACACTACGTAGCTCGAGTTTTGCTGTGAATCTTTATTCCCACCCCCCCACTTGCACTGAAATCTCTTCTCTAATCACACCGAAATCTAACTTGGACCCCTCTGGACAGAACAGGCCTTTGGAGTGCAAAGTTACCCTGCTCAACAGCATTGTAAATTAATGTAAATTTATGCAAATATTATGCCTGAGTCCATAAATTCATACTTTGTGGGAACAATATTTAGATCAGGGGTGTCCAACCTTTCACCTTCCCTGGGCCACATTAGAAGATGAAAATTTGGTTTGGGCTGCACATACATTTGGTTTGGGCCGCATGGGGGGGGCAGCCCTAGCTGTCCTCCGCAGCCCCACTCCAAGCGTGCTTACTGGCAGCTGTGATCTCAGACAGCAGAAGCTGCCAGCTTCGACTCCGGTGGCTTTAGGGGCCGGGAGGGGGTCCACCTATTGACAGGGACGGCGCAATGCAGTCACGCAGCCCCCTTGTCCCCTCCCCTCCAACTCCTTCCTTCCTTCCCTCTCTCCCCCTCTACTGTTGTGACATGCCCCAGTCACATTCCGGCCACAAGCACCAGCAGTGTAACTTGAAACTTTGGAATTTCTTTTAAAATAAAAAATTGCACCAGGCCGCATTACGAGCTGACCTGGGCCGCATGCGGCCCTTGGGCCTCAGGTTGGACAAGCCTGATTTAGATAATTCAAAATATTAAAGAACTTAAGTTACTTCAACTACTCTAAGTGTTACTTTTTAAGACTGATACGCTAAAAAAACCTCTCCTTTGGCTGCTCAAATACTCCTTATCAACAACATGCTTTCTTCTGTTTAAACTGTAACTAGTGATTAAGATACATGCTCAGTTCATCCATAACATGAGATCATATTTTCTCTTTATTCTAATTAGCTGTGACAAATTCTTCAACTCTTGTACTCCATACCACAATATTTTGTACACCAGAAGTGTTGACCCAAAGTAGAAGCCTTTGACTTTGAAACAGTAGTCCTGTCTAACATCGAAACTTAGAGAACACTGCTTGGTTCAGAATAAAGTTACTGAAAACAAACGAAGGATTTCCGGCTTACTCAGTAGAGTAGACCTTTGGTCTAGATGGGCGGGGAAGAAATCTAAATCTAAATCTGATCTAATCTAATAATCATGTGTTGTGAAGTCAGTTCTGACTTATGGCAACCCTTTTTAGGATCTTCTAGATAGAGAGAACTCAAAAAGGCTTTACTATTCCCTTCTTCTGGGGCTATCTCGGGACTTTGCGGGTTGTCCAAGGATACACAGGCTGGCTCTTCTTCCTGGAAGCCCAGTGAGGAATTGAGCTCCCAGCCTCTGGCTCTGCAATTAGATACTTTACTCAATGAACTATCCACCCAGCTGTCCTTAGCTGTTTTTAAATAAACTATCGTTCTTTAATTTTAGACAGCATAGAAAGTTACTGTTAGGTTGAAGGTAGATTCAAGAACAGTCTACTTATCTGATGGATGAAACAGGAGAAAGGGGTGCTTGCAAAGCTCCAGGTTTGCTGCAGCTAGTTCTAATAGCAGGAAGCTATGATTTCCCACTACAGCAGAACCATATCATAATATGACACAAAATACGCAGGAGCATGCCAATCACAAAACAACCAGCTAAAGGGGGACAGAGTAGATAAAGACACTTACAAGTATGTCTTGCCAAGGAATAGTTTGAGCCACCACTTGTTGATCCAAAGCCTTCAGGAATTTGACTAGAACTACGTGGCCTGGTCAGCAACTTTGGAGGTTCAATTTCTGCTCCAAACTCTGCTCCAATTACTCCTAGCAGAACAATAGCCGTAGCTTGCTTCCGTCTCTCTTCATATGACATAGATATCTTTTTTATTTGTGGAAGTCCTGATAGAGAACCTGTAATAGAACAAAATGAAAATTATTGTGATTGGTTAGAGTCACTAAATGTTTTTGTTAGAAGGTATGGAGCCCAAATGGGGACGTGGCGCCGCCGCGGGCTAAACCGCAGAAGCCTCTGTGCTGCAAGGTCAGAAGACCAGCCGTTGTAAGATCAAATCCACATGACGGAGTGAGCTCCCGTCGCTTGTCCCAACTCCTGCCAACCTAGCAGTTCGAAAGTATGTACATGCAAGCAGATAAATAGGCATCACCATGGTGTGAAGGTAACGGCGTTCCGTGTCTAGTCGCACTGGCCACATGACTATGGAAACTGTCTATGGACAAATGCTGGCTTGGAAACAGGGATGAGCACCGTGCCCTAGAGTCAGACACGACTGGACTAAATGTCAAGGGGAACCTTTACCTTTAGGGATCCCAAACCATGGGCATCATATCCCAGCATTTTAGAACGATTTGAATCCAAAATGGTTCCAGGGCAGAAAAAGGTTATTGTTACAGGTAAACTGACAAGAGAGCTTCAAGGAAGAGGAAGAGAATGGAATTTCCTGTCCTTGTAATATCATTTCATGTTAAGCCTCACTTCTCTCAAGCCATCTGCTGTTTATGCTATAAAGTAAATGTGAGTGGTTTAGTGGCAAATTCAGAAAGCTAAAGTATCTTCATAATAGCCATAACCTGCCCTTTCACTTTATCAGATACCCTCTTCTAATATTATATTATCCAATAAAGAAGAGTTTCTTCTCTTTGTTTGGAAATAAGTAGACTCTTTGAAATAAAAAACATCTGTATGCGCTTTCTCTGACTTTTTTTAAAAAAAGAATTTTTAAAGAAAAAAAACAAACAAACACACGACTGACTGACTTAATATGGTGAAGGTATCCATACATGGTTGCAGTCTTGTACAAATTTACACCGATGAGTCTACAGGTATGCAGAGCCACACCTTTTAAAAACTTTTAAATTGAGAGTGTTTACTGTTGCAGCACCCCTCCCTTCTACAATGCGTGATCCAGTGCATCTTTTCCCAGGTTATAAACTCAGATAACACTGCAGCAAACTACACGTGCTGAAGAGGAAGGTGTGTCATGTAGATGCACGAAAGACCATCTGAGGAACAAACATTACACAAGCAACCAGCTTTTCTTCTCATGATCTTTTTGCACTCACATTGCTGGGTAAGGACCAGCAAGCTCACCTCCAAAAACTTTTAAGGTTTCATTTGAACTAGTTTGGACTGGTAGAGACTGCACCAAGAAAATGAGACTGTGTTCAAGAGATTGCTTCCTACAGAATGATACGTCCAGACATTCTGGCAACTGAGTAAACATGTCGACGTGAGTTGAGAGGTCTTCTGATTGTTTTCGTGGGTCATCTTGGATGACCAGTAGATCTGCTGATCTCAGATGAGGTTGTGTTTCAAGATGACTAACCATTTTGAGGCTGTGTTGGGTTCCTTTTGTTGAGATGGAAGGTGTTGTACTAACATCTTTGTTCCTTCTGTGTGGGACACTGTGACTGACATAATCAAGTGTGTCGGTCTGACTGGGGTTTTTGAAGTCATTTGTGGAATAAAGGAGTGTAGAGTTAATTGAATCCTTCTATGTACTGGAACATGCATGGGACTGGTGAAGGAGGTAGCATATCAGTAATGCGGCAGCAGTCAGTATCAAAGGTTGAATCAATACCAGTGGTTATTGGTGTTTTGTGTATTCTAAATAAATGGCTGTGTGAAGACCAACAATTAGAGACCAAAAAAATGACAAGATGGAAGATTTTCACTCACTTGCAAAGGCAGATAAATGCTAGTGCAGTGATCCCACATTTTCTTAAAATACTTCTCAAACACATTTGATCTTAGCCAAAAGACTGAAAATGATATTTATAAAGATGGGTTGTGGATTATACCAATGCTCAAAGCTGAAGGAGATTTTCAAGGCACCTCAAAACCATGTACGGTACTGTGTGTGGGAGTCCATTGGGGATAGAAGGGAGAAAAGAACATATAAAAAACTAGAAGGCTCTGAACAGAGGAACATAACACTTGTGTTAAAACAAGCATGCAATCCCTAACACCTGGATTTACAATATTTAAAACAATTAAGGGCACCGCTTCTTAAAATTAGCTTAGTTTTACATGTGTATTTGACAGATATTCCCAACTCTTCTAGCACGTTAGAAATTTCATTTCCATATTTTCCAAACAAGACAAAATTCTCACCCTTCCTTCCTGCACAACGATGTTAAATCTCATCTGAGACACATCAGATTAGACTACTTGGTGTACAGAGAGAATTACTAAATGTGAAGATTAATGAAATATGAATTAATGAAAGGGGGTTGCTACTGTATGCCTGTATTGTAGCAAACGGAAAAAAAATCCCCCTCTCTTAAAAAAAAAAAGCAGAAGCATCTTGGGTAAAAAAAAAAGATTCCCAATTCACCTCTAGCTCTGATAGTCTTATACCCAAAGGGGTGGGTGGGGGTTGATCTTTAACAATGAGGAGGGGGGAAATCAATAGTCACCTCCGGAAGAAGGATGAAAATGGACTGCACACTAAGTGATACGTAACCATTTTAATCGGCTATAATTTGTATATATAATCACTACAGTTAAATGCTACACAAGTTGCCACTGAAGTCTGCCTAAATAGATCCATTTTTAATTCGCTCTCCTCAGAACACAATGATCTGGAAGGAAATCACTGCACTCCTCCTTCCCCCCCCCCCACACACCGAAGAAGCATGCTCCATAACAACAGTTCAAAGGAAAGCTCCATTCTGCAGTTGCACTGATTGTTCTGTCAGCTGACCTCTGCAGAAGGGAATTGCTAACCACTGCCGAGAGCTCCTTAGCTGACAAATGAATGATCGCAGCTCCATCTATTTTCACTATGGCTGCCTCCTAGCCCAGGTGCTCAGGCAGAGAGCCCGGTGTGACATCTTAGATCAAGATGAATTGGCACAAACTCCTGATCCAAGATTGTTTTATACCATTTAATTTAGTTTCTTCCCCTGGTCGGATGAGCACAGCTCTGGTTATGGATTTCTATTCTAATGTACTGAAGCAGGCGCTGAAAGAAGCCAATGAAGCAGATGCTGGAGCTGGGGACTGCAGGGATACTGATCAATAGGCAAGGCATTGACCCCAGCCACTCAGCCTCTGCAATGGTCACTGTTTAAAGAAAAGAAAGGAGGGGGGGAAGCCCCACACATGTGCTGCTTCCAGTAGGAAATTAAACAACAGGGGCGCTTGGCAAGCTCCCCCCCCCTTCAGCAACAACAACAACAACAACAAAAAGAATCTCTCGTTGCTCATCCTTTTGTTCGATTATAGGAAACTCCAGTTAGCCCTTCGTTGATTGGGATATATTTGTGACCAAATGCTTCTTTATGTCCTGAGATCATATGTTACGTTTAGCACGCTGACCGTATTTCATAATCCCAATAAACCAGAGAGGATAATATATCAAGATATATCTGCTCCCAAACCATAAAGTTTATGTTGACTTCATGGTAAGAGGCGTTCAGTTTTGCTTTAAAGCCTGTTAAGACACACTTATCTTACAAATCATGCTTAATCAAAGGTTGTTCATTTAGTAGACCTCAGAATGTACTCTGAAGCTTACGGACCCTTCAAAATATTCCAGCATTCTATAGGCACACTAAAAGTCACAATCAGCACTGGGGAGTAGTGGACTGAGAGAAAATTAAATTTAAAAAGTTTTCAGAAAGACTTAATTAGCATCACAGTGTTTAACCAGACCTTTGATCAGAAGTGCACATTAGGTAAGATTCTGATATGTATAAGGGAGATTTAAGTGTGATTTCCCCCCCCCCCGCCTTGACTGTCTTTTGAGTTATTAGTTGGAACGTGCAATTAATGGCAGCCTTTCCCAACAAATAAACTGACAGCCAAATGGGAGATTTTAAAATGAAATAATGTCTATAAGAGTTGTCCTTGCTACAAGTTTCATTTGTCTCGTGAAAATTTGGTATTTTCTCACAGTGATGTGCCTCCATTTAATCATGCTAAAGGGTGACACGAAGATCCATTTTCTTGACAGGACAGTTGATCACCCTATCACAGTGAGAAAATTAATAACCTCAAATAGCCCTACGTGGAAAACAGAAGCTACACTGGGGAAGGTTTCTGCATTTAAGTTGTAGAGATAGCACACTTTCTATGCACTAAGTAAATAGAAGTGACAGATTTCTTTATTATTTGCTTGTTTTTTTAAAAGCAAAGTGGACGTTTTTACTCCGTATTTAAGGTGATAACAAACATCCTAGAGCTTTAACAAGAGGAAATAGTTTTAGGGTAGTGTGGTCTCTGAGAATGGATGTACATTTTTTATCCCTAATCTTTTAAAATAAAATATAGGTAAAGAATCTGAAGAAGTTTAAGCTGTTTAAAAGGTTGCAAGATATTGATTACTTCATTTAAAAAGCAGCCAGGGAGTGCAACCAAGAGGTCAGGATAAATTTAACAGTTTGAAGCACTTTACTAAATAACTCTAAAGATCATGTTAATTGGCTTTGCACAGTTTCTAGTGTAAAATTAATTTTATACTAGCTTACAATAAAAGGATTAAAAGACATTAAGTTCTACAGGTTTAACTGGAACAGGAATCAATGGATTTGAATTAAGGCTAAAGGCTATTTTATGGGAGATGGACTAGTCCCAGATACTTTATATCTGCTATTAGGAATGTGATAGTATTCTGTTATTGTATAAGGAATTAAAAACTTGGGAGGTGAAAATGCTAAATCCATTTATTATTACAGAAATACCCTCTAGGATTTTGAACGCAGACCCCCTCCCCAAACATTTTTGTCCACAAAACATATTGGCCAGCTGAACCCTACCACAAGACGGCACAGAGACTGTTGGGCAGGGATCACAATACTAATTACCACAGCAGTAGAACACAACCGGATTTGGGCTCTGGGGTCCCCTATGGGAGAAGGGTGGCTTATAAATTAAGTAAAAGAAATAA